CCCCAAAACCCCAAAACCCCAAAACCCCAGAGGATATTTTATTTACGATAGTAGAAATTAATAGAAATATTCATAATCTAAATTTATAACTATACTATGAGCAGTACTAATCAGACAATAATGTCAGACTTCTAGGTCCTCTCTAAACTTGGTACTATAATTATCATTTTTACATATTTAAGGTGTGGGAGCTTTTTCTGAAGTATTCAGAGTCAAAAGAAGATCAGATGGATAAGAATATGCATTGAAAAAGGTAATTTGAAAGTTCAAATTTTTGATGATAACAGTCATAACTTATGCTAATAGGTGAAACTTATGAAACTCAGCGAAAAAGAGAAGGAAAACGCATTGAATGAGGTCAGAATTCTGGCTTCAATCGAACATCCAAATATAGCTGGATACAAAGAAGCATTTTTTGAAGAATCGACTTCATCTTTATGTATTGTGATGGAATATGCTGATGGCGGAGATTTATTGTCAAAAATCAACTCACTTAAGAAAGAAGGAAAGCATATGAAGGAAGAAGATGTTTGGAGCATATTCTATTAAATGGTGGTAGGTCTGTAGGCTTTACATAAGGTAAAAATCGTACATAGAGACATAAAATGCGCAAATGTTTTTTTAACAAAGGAGGGTTTTGTAAAACTTGGAGATCTTAATGTTAGCAAAATTGCGAAAATGGGAGTCTTAAAAACTCAAACTGGTACTCCATATTACGCCAGTCCAGAAGTTTGGCAGGACAAACCATATGACAAAAGATCTGATATCTGGTCGTTAGGTTGTGTTTTGTATGAATTGATAGCTTTACATCCTCCATTCGAAGCAAAGGACATGCAAGGTTTGTATAAAAAAGTGCTTACAGGAGTTTATCCTAAGATTCCATCAAGCTATTCATCAGACTTAAATGCAATGCTGAAAGCTCTTCTCTAAGTGGAACCTAAAAATAGACCGACTACCAAGTAAATCATGCATTTACCTGTTTTTATTGGGAAATATAATGAAATTCGGGAAAATAAAGCTAAGGATTTCGAGGATGAGCATACTTATGATGATTAAAATATGCTTTTAGGAACAATCAAGGTGCCTAAAAATCTTAGACTACTTTCAGAGAGATTACCAAAGAGTAATTATGAAAAAAAGTAAAAGAAGGAGGAAGATAAAATGAGTGAAAAAGGCAACAAATCTGTGATTTAGGATCAACTCCATTCGATTCAGGAAGAGGAAGTACCTTCTGGGTAGAAATAATAAATACCTGAAGACAGTAAAATAAAAGAATATGCGAGTAAACCACCTATTGTCAGGAATGGAAAAGCCGGTAGTTAAAGATCATTAAGTGCAAAGTAGAATCAAAATGGAATTGTTTAAAATTAATTAGCTGAAAAAGGTCAATAAATAATGCAAAAGCATAGATAAATTAGCAGTGATAGAGCCTAAGGGGAAGAATCAACAGGTTCTAAATTAGGTAGGATTGGTCAAAGTAATATAAATTCTTAAGAGAGAAACAACCAATTAAATCAATAGATCTAAAATGATGCCTACATTAAAGTTCAGTAATACAGGAAAAAGCTTTATATAAATTAACTCCCTAAAAGCTCCCCTTCTTAAAGGAATGGAATTGCTGATCTATATTATCAAATCGCTCATGGAAAAGGAGCTTTAATTGATAAGCATGAATAAAAACTTAGTAAAGAGAGGATTGTGAATCCTTAACCATTTGAAAAAGTTGTTTCAGAAATACAAAGTCATCAATCGGTATAAGGACCTGTGATATAATAAGTTCATCGATAAGATTCAAGATAGAACAATCACAGGTAGCTGGTTGTCGAGGATCCTCTAAGAGGTAACAACAGAATAGCTCAATAGCCATTGCCTCTGATTAATGCTGGGAGATAGGCAATGAACGAAAATTACACTCCAAAATATCATGTCCCCTTGGAAAAGTTATATGGCAAGCACAATCAAGCACTGATCTCACCCTAATAAAGAGAATCAAATCATAAACTAGGCATGCCACCTATGATGCCAAGAACGAAATCAAAAGACTCTCTTCTTATTTACAATAATCTGAGAGATGTATATAGAAATATGGGAGGCGGGGCTTAAAGTATTGTATAAGCTGGAAGATTAGAATCATAAAGACTACTTTTGGATCATTATAAAAGGGTTGACCCTAATAATCATCAGATAGTTCCAATAGACCTAAAAAGATAAAATCTTAAGCATTAATATATTCCTATGAGCTAGCACGGTTAAAGAGGCATCATAAGTACCAACAATGGTGCTGGTATGCCTATCCCACAGTCAAGACAAAATATGCCATTAGCATCTCCTTCATAATAGTCAGTGAGACCCTAATGGTGGGGTTGAGAACCGATAACGTTAAATTTATACATATATATAATCCTGGTTTATATTTTTCCTAATTATATTTTTAATTTCTTATTAATTCTATTTTATTGGATAATGAGGGGTTTTGGGGTTTTGGGGTTTTGGGGTTTTGGGG